CAATTCTTTAATAAAAGAATGCAAATTTGCACATAGTGGAAGTGAAAAGAATCAAAAGAAATAAAAATTGCCACTATTAGTACAACTTATTAAAGTAAAAATCATAAAAGGTTCTTAAATATCTGAAAAAGACTAAAATGGCTTGATTTATTTATTAAATTTATCCAATTGTATTATAAAAATAATTGCATTAGAATAGATAAACGTGTAGAAATAAAATACTTAAAATTTTATATTAATGAGTATAGAGTTGTGGCTATAACCAATATCATTTATTGCTTAAAATGACAAGAACGAGACAACAATATTTAGAGCATATAAATGATATGCAAAATAAATAGTTTGAACATATTAGCATGAAGTAATTATATTAGATATTCAAATAGGAGTAATTTTCATAAAAGATAATTGAATTCAAGATATTTTGTTAGTAGTATAACAAGTATAATAGATTTAAACCCTTACTATTAGATACCAATAAAGAGAATCAAACTTTGAATTATTAATCTCTAATTACAAAGTTTAATGGAGAAAAACAAGTTATTGTTATGTGTCTGTCTAGTATTAGTAAAATTCATTCAAATTTTAGAAATTAGTATGATCCATAGCGTGAGGAAGATAAGTTTTTATACTCTTAAATGAATTTATTATTTAAACATCAAAAGCAATTGAAATATAATGAAAACTTTACTTATATAAATATAAAAGTGATATCGTTTCAATAAGAAAAATTGGAGTCTCTCTTGTACATGTTTATGAATAGGATAAGCACATAACATAATAATGTTAAGGTGATTATAAACCTTTAATAAAAAATAAATAAGTATCATATGCGTTATATATTCAATTCTGACACTAGAAGTTAAGGTTTAATCTATGACATTATCAAGTTCGTTAGAATTTTAAGGTATATACGCTGATTGAAGGTTTAAATTGAGAGATATCTTCTTGTATTTATAATATTTATTTGTATGAAATGTTAAAAATTAAGCACCAATATTCCAAACTAATGGGGATTATTGGTAGTTTATATTGTAGTACCTCTCATATTGGATAGAAAGATTTAATTATTTATGAATAACATTAATTTTTGTGTTAATTTTATTCATATTTTAAATAATTATGTTAAACAAAAATAAGTATCATATGACAAATCATCATAACTATTTGAATATAAATAGATTTTTGTTTATAAAGTTATTATTATACAAAAGATCATAACCATTTGAATAGAATTTATGTCTATTAATTCATTATAACTAGATTTTTTAATATAATCATTTTTACTACATCGAATTTGAAAAGTTTTGAGATTTTATTATATCTTAGAAGTACAATTGCATTTAAAAAAATATTTTTCATGTCTGAAAACCAAAATTATTTTTTATTATTTTTATTCTCTTATTTTTTTCTAACAAGAATTATATAAAGCGTTAATTGCATTAATTAAGCGTAGAGTAATTTTTTATCATCATATCACCTATAATTCTTTTTACTACAAATTTACAATTGTTGAATCACAATTAGAGTTGGCAAACAAGTCGGTTTGGCCATTCAGACCAGCTATTTTCAGATTCATATTATTTGAATTACTGTTTTTTCATTCAAATTGTCTTAGATTTGAATATTTTTAGGTTTGGATAATTTTGGATTCAAAATTTTTTAAATTTGGATAATCTTGAATATGAATTATTTCGTATTCTAATTATTTTAGATTTGGTTCAATTCAAGTTAAGCGAGCCTAGATGGATCCCAATACTTTTTGTCTTAGATTCGAATAATTTTGGGTTTGGATAATTTTGAATTTAGATTTTTTTAAATTTGGATAGTCTTAAATACGAGTTATTTCATATTCTAATTATTTCAAATTAGGTTCAATTCAAGTTGAACGGGTCTAGATGGGACCAAATAATTTTGAAATTTTATAAATTATAGGCTTTTTGTAATTTCGAATGTAATAATTAATTTTACTTTTTATATCATTAAATAAAATGTGGCAAAAACATTAAAGTTAAAAATTTAAATGTTAATAAATATTTATATAAATGTTCATTATATAATAATTTTGTATTTTAATATTATCTATTGCTATGATCAAAAATAAATTATCCATTATTTTTTTCGTCCATCTTATAAGTTCAAATAGCCAAATAATATAAGTCTAATGTATAAAATAAAAATTCAAAATCATTAGATTACATAAAAATCAAAAATCTTATAACTTCAAGGAAATAAAACCCACTAAACATTTATATAAATGTTTTTTTAATAAATTATCCATTATTAGAATAGTCCATCTTATAAGTTCAAATAGCTAAATAATATAAGTCTAATATATAAAATAAAAGTCCAAATCATTGGACTCCATAAAAGTCCAAAATCTTATAACTTCTGGGAAATAAAGCCCACTAAACATTTATATAAATATTTTTTTATTCTTAAGTCTTAACTCAATAACTCATTGGATCGCACCTAACCTTAACCACTTAGTCCTACAATTTTTCATTTTTTATTTTTATTTTCTTTTGTTAGCTTTTTTAGTCATTATATTATCATGTTCTAACAAATATTTTAAGTTTTTAAGAATTTTTCTTACATATATATATATATATATATATATATAAATTGGTTTGGAAATAAATGGAAAGCTAACATACTTACATTAGATCTAATCACATACCCTGTTTGAGTAAATGTTCAATTAGAATGTTGAATATAGATATTAAAAATTATCAATTAATTGGTTTAATTTTAATAATTAATACTTAAAAATTTTGAAAAATCATAATATATAAAAATTAATTTATATAGTATTGATCTAATTTTAATATTTGATCATTTTGAATTTAACTTTAAATTAAGAATATTCATCAATTACCAATTATCTAATTATAATGATGAATAGTAGATATTATTAAAAAAAGTACTAATTACCATTTACAAAAAATATTTATTATGAATAATTGATCAATTAAATAGTTCAACCTTATATTTGTTTTATTTTTGGTTTGTATACGAATTATTATACTAATATTATGCCGTTAAATATAATCGTATACAATAATTGATCAAATGTTCCATTAGAATGTTGAATTAGAAAAAATGATAAACACCAATTGACTTTTAACATAATAACATTAGATATATTCATACATATCAATTGACCAAATTTCACAAAAGTAAATAGTAAACATTATTAAAAGATCACTCATTTTAACATTAACATAAATATAATTACATTGGATATACACCAACTGACCAAATATTCAATTAGAATGTTAAATAATAGATATTATTAAATTAATTATTATAATGCCAGTAACCCTAAACTCAACGAGTATAGTTACTTAAATATAATTAATCTTAATATCAATTAAATATAAAAATTAATTGTATTAAAATTTTTACTAGTATATTATACTTCTAAATTATACTTTGATTTACTATTGATAATAATTAATTCTATCATCACCTTAATTTTACTTATAATATATATTAACAAATCAATTAAACATCAGTTCTAATTAAATATTTTATCTAATATTAAAATTAAAAAGTAACAAAAAACAAAAAAAAATAATGGCAGCAATACCATTTTTACAATCCCCTCTAAACAAAAATTTCAAATTCACAATTGCCTCCAAACAAAAATTCCCAAAATCAATACCATATCCTAACTCTCGACTCTCAAGCGGACTGTTATTCAATGATGAAAACAACTCTCAAGCAGACCCTTATTAAATATTTTTCATCGTCATATTTCAATTTTAAAAATAATATATTTTAATTTATAAGACTATTTTATTTTCAAATAATTTAATATTTAGTATATTTGACACACTAAGAAAAATATAATCTAAAGTTAATTTTGTTCATAATAATATTAATATTTTCCCAAGACATAAAATTTAATCAAATAGTGAAATTATAATATAATTTTTATATTTGAATTATTGTTATATTAAATTTAAAATTTTAATGTGAAATAATTATAATAAATCAATAATATACTGTGAATGATTATTTTTATAATGAAATCAAATTTAAATTAATGATATTATTTTTATTGATAATTATTATAAATATAATAAGGATAGTATTAAAAATTATTTGATATTTATATTGAGTGTGTTTCAAAATTAATTTTATTTCATAATTGAATTTAAGGATTCAATATTAATTTTGTTAATGATAAGTTATTGATATAATTATTTAATAATTATAAATGATAATATTTTAAAATTTTTAGTTAAGAAAAATGTTTTTCATTTATTATTATTTTTTTAAAAAGGTCATATAATTATAGTTTGGGTTTTTTTAATTATAATTTGGTTTTAACGGGTTTAAGATCAAATCTATTTCAAGTTTGGATAATTGTAAATTTGAGTTATGACGAATTCAGTTTATGTCGATATAAGATTTTTTTAGGGTTCAGATTTTTTCAAATTTTTATCTTCGACTTTTTTTTTATCCACCCAGGTTCAATCACGGGTTGGCCCGGACAAATTTTTGGGTTCCAAGCAACTTTGTCAGCTATAACTACAATTTAAAATTATGTAACAATTCATGTAAATTCCTTATAAAATTATATACTCGAAAAATTGGCTCTATTTTTACTTTTTTTCAAATCTTTTTTTTCTATATGAACAAAATAATTTTATATATTTTTAAATAATTTTATATTTAAAATTATCAAAAATTAAATTATAATCACTGAAATTAAAATTTTAATACTATACTAATTATCAGAACTGTTGGCAACATTTTATTTTAAATATTACTTTTTTTAATGCAACTGTTAACAGATTAAATTAAATATAGGGTACATAATAATCCATTATTTATTATGTAAAGTTTGACGAGTCTACTTCATAACTTAAAAAAGGAAAACAAAAGTGACCAACCAAAACTTGTTGCATAAAACCATAGTATTTTATTTTGGATTGAAGTGAGAAAAAAACAAATTTTTTTTAACTTTTAGCTTTACTAGTATTATTTTATTTTTTAAGAACATAAAGAACAGATACTCACTTGCACAATGCAGGCTCTAAGCCTTATAACACCAAACTTATTATCTTGTATCAGTCTACTTAGATAATGATAGAGAATCCCCATGGCTGCATCAACTAGTAATGGTAATTCTAGTCATAATTAATTGTGATTTTTTGTATGAGAGACTTGCTATCCAGGCCCTTGGAGTAGAAGTTTTCGAAGAATTCTTGAGCGGTGAAATCACGATACATTGCCGGTTTCTGTTCCGATAACACCTCCGGTAGAGGTCCATAGTAACCATCTCCCTTCCATTTGGAGAGATTGAAAAATTCAACAACTGAAATCCTTGGTTCCTTACATGAGTTGGCCACCACTCGATGTTGCACACTTTGGTACTCCCCATTCGACACTATCTGCAATGCCATGCATATATATGTAAACGGACAAACACAAACAGAATTGTCAGAATTTATCACTTCCCGAAGGAGATTTTCTCTAACTAAGCACGTTTTTGTAGCTAAAAATGAAACTAATTTTTTAGTAACAAATGGTTGGTCTTTAACTTATGATTGCAAGTTTTTCAAATCAAATGTGAGAAAGCCACACCAAAATACTGTTTAGTATATATATATATATATATATATATAAAAGTTTATATTCGATATATTATTAATATATAAATTTTATATATTATTAATTAATCAAATAAATAATAATAATAATTTATTAATAAATAAATATTAATTTTTAAAATAAATATATACAAATTAAAATTACATATTAATTTTTAAAATAATTATATATAAATTTTTAAATATATATTTATTAATTAAATATATATTTCTTTTATTTTATTAATAAATTATCATTATCTATTTATTGATAAAATATATAATTTATATACATATAATATATTAAATATAACATTCATACTAATAAAAGGATAATATAATATAATACTCCATGTGTTTGGTGTCAGCATTTGACCGACATTTTCCTGCTCTACAATTAAAAGGATTTGACAAATTTGGATCTCTTTGAAAAAAATTATCAAGTAAAGCTTAAAAATCTCTGACATAATGATTTAATAAAAATAAGACAAATTAAGTTTTTGTTGTTTAATAAATGTTGATCAAATTCTTACATTATTATTTTTAATTGGCCCAACTCTTTCTAAAGTATAATGGAAATACAGATTGATGAAATTGAAGTATAATATACCTTTGAAAGAGTTAAATGAAATGTTAAAATGCAATTATATATATTTTGGAATTATGATCGTCACCTGAAGAAAGTCACCAACATTGATAATGAGACCACCATGCACAGGCTTCACATCCACCCACTCATCATCATGCCGAACCTGCAACCCTTGAATCTGATTCTGCAACAGCACCGTCAGCAGTCCTGGATCCGTATGCAATGTTATCCCCAAAGTCAAATCCGGCTGTGGACAATACGGATAGATATGCCCCACCAAAACCCTTGTCTCACTAAACGTCAGCTCCTGGAACTTGCCAGCTGCCAACCCCAACCCTTCACTCAACAACCCCATCACCGTCTCAGCCACCTTCGTAGCGCTCAAATCCCATGCAACCACCTCTTTTCTACAAATGGCCGGCAACTCTTCCGGGTCCAATGGCTTTGGTCCCATCCAAGCTTTCAAGGAGTCAAGCCAGCAGGCAGCCTCAGCCCTGTACAAATCATTATTACTAGTGTACATTACTCCATGCGATTCTTCTCGTTTGTAGTACTTTGATTTGGTTTCCTGTGGCTGCTCGTGAAAGGCTCTGATAGCTTCGATAGTCTTTTCGAGTACTGATATGGGTACTCCATGATTGATCACTTGAAAGAAACCCCATGACTTGGCGGCTTCTTTGATTTGGTTAACGACTTCCTGGTGGTGATCAGGGGTGTTTACCTTGGACAGGTCGATAACTGGGATATTCTTAGTTCTTGCTTCGGAAGATTTGGATTTAACATCGGAGAGAGTTTGTGGCGGATGTTTGAAGAAATCAGGGATGGTTTTGTTGCCAGAATCTGAAAGACCTTTAACTCCGATTTTGGATTCGTCGAATTCTTTCAGTTCCTTCAATCGGTCATAGCTGGAAGTTGCAGCAGCTGCAGCCATTTTTTACAAACACACCACTTTCTGATAATTGTCAATGAATACAGAAATTAAGCTATGGCAATTTATTTATAAATAGATGAAGTTATGTTTAAGAAAACTGGGAAATGCTGTAATATTGGAAGATGACATCACTCCAACTTGGGAATCAAACTGATATTTTGGGGATTAACATGAAAGCGAATGGGAAAATTTTATTTACTGTGAAATGCTATAATATTCAAAGATGACATCACTCCAGCTGGAATCAACTTGACATTTTGGGATTAACGTGAAGGCTAATGGTAAAAAATTTTATTTACTGTTTTACACAATCAGTTGAAATTTTTATTGAAAAGGAAATGAAAATTATACAATTTTTGAGAAAAGGAAAAAGGTAGGTAATGGAGGGAATATTCGTTATTTTTTAAATATTTATATTTAAATTTATTTAAATTTAATATCATTATTTAAATTTAAATTTATTTAAATAAATATTATCCATTTATAAAATATCGAATTCGTTAAAATATTTATTTATTTAATTTTTTTATCAAAATATAAAACAAATAAATTTTTAATTTAAAATTTTATTTTATTTTTAATTAATAATAAATAAAAATTATTTTTAAGGTTTAAAATCTTTTGTAAATATAAATTTTTTATGTATATATATATATATATATAATGAATAATAAATTTGAAGTATAAATTTAGATATCTATTATTATTTATTAAAATTTACATAAATTTAAATATTAAATATTTAAAAAATGTTATTCATATTTATTTTAAATTTATCATAAATAATAAATTTTTTATTTAAATTTATTAATTATTTAAATTCAATATAAATAATAAAATAATAATGAATATTCGTTTATTTATTATTCATTACCATCTTTAAATGGGATGGTTAATTGGAATCGACATCACACCAACTTGGGAATCAAATTGACGTTTTGGGGATTAACAGGAAGGCTAATGGGAAATTTTGAGACATATCTCTTAATATATATTTTTTAAAAAATTAAAAAATTAATTTAAAAAAATTAAACATATGCGTGTTCATCATTTTATCTTTTATCACTGTCAATGTATCGAATAATATCTTTTATTTTAGTTGAGTCAAAGTCCATGAGTTTTGTTTTTGTCGAACGGTCAAAGCTAGAAGCTACAGCAGTTGCAGCCATTTTTGACCAGCACACCACTTTCTGATAATTGTCAATGAATACAGAAATTAAGCTATGGCATTTATTTATAAATAGATAAAGTTACCTTTAAGAAAACTGTGAAATGCTATAACATTCAAGATGATATCACTCCAACTGGAATCAAATTGACATTTTGGGGATTAACATCAAGGCTAATGGGAAAATTTGAGACATATCTCTTAATATATATTTTAAAAATTAAAAAACTAATTTAAAAAAAATAAAATATATGCATGTTCATCATTTTATCTTTTATCATTATCAATGTATCAAATAATATCTTTTATTTTAGTTGAGTCAAAGTCCATGAGTTTTGTTTTTGTCGAACGGTCAAAGCTAGAAGCTACAGCAGTTGCAGCCATTTTTGACCAGCACACCACTTTCTGATAATTGTCAATGAATACAGAAATTAAGCTATGGCATTTATTTATAAATAGATAAAGTTACGTTTAAGAAAACTGTGAAATGCTATAACATTCAAAGATGATATCACTCCAGCTGTTATCAAATTGACATTTTGGGGATTAACAGGAAGGCTAATGGGAAAATTTTATTTACTGTTTTACACAATCAGTTGAAATATTTATTGAAAAAAAAATGATAATTATACAATTTTTGACAGAAGGAATAAGGAAGGTAATAGAGGGAATATTCGTTAATTCTTAAATATTTATATCTAAATTTATTTAATAGTTACAATATTTAAATTTCATATCATCATTCAAATTTAAATCTATTTAAATAAATATTTTTTATTTAAATATCTGAATTTATTAAAATATTCATTTATTTAAATTTTAGTTAAAATAAAAAATAATTAAAATTTAAAATTAAATTTATTCTTAATTAATAATAAATAAAAATTATTTATCAGAGTCGTGACAAGTGGTATCAGAGCCAGCCCTAAACTGTTCGATCCACATCAAACACCTCGAAGGAGGTAGGCAAGATGATCTGCCTCCGTAACGAGGGCATCACGAGGTTGAGTGCGGGAGAATGTCACAGACCTAAGGAGTAGTCATGAATCTTACATCGAACATAATAAGAGGGTCACTGAAGTATAAAAGGGTTCACAGTACTTCAACCTTGTGAGGTGCCTTTTGTAAGACAAAATCGTGAGGCCAAAAGGGTCAGAGCGGACAATACCTCACAAAAATATGAACCGTGACGGTCAGACTGATTCGAGATGCCGAAAAGATGAATGTCTGGGTCTCAAAATCACGCGAATTCGAAACTTAACTCTCGACCCGTGACACTTGTACCTGGATAAACTTCATCAATTAATAAATTATAATTACATGAAAAAGGAAATTTTTTTTTTTTCATGTACGCTAAGCTAAGGTTAGGGGTGAGTAAATGGTCAATTCGATCAGTTCGGTTTGAAAAAATCAATAACCGACTTAACCGACTTTCATTTAACAAATAACCGAACCGATCAAATATTATTAAATAATCGATCATAACCGAACCGACCAAAATCGGTTCGGTTCAGTCGGTTCAATTAAATAATCGATTTTTTTTATCATTTTTCTTCTTATTATGAATAATTATTTAACCATAAATTCAATTCAATAAAATTCAAACTCTAGTATCATTCAAACTAAATTACTAAAGAATTTAATAATTTCAACAATATTTTACCAAAAAAAAAATAAATAAAAATATTTATCTCAATTTTTTTATTTTTAATTATTAAAAAATCGGTTAATTTGATCAGTGCGGTTATCAATTTTAAAAATCGAAAATCGATCGAATTAATCAATTTAATCGATTTAAAAAATCGATTATAATTAAAACCAAATAAACTGAATCAATTCAATCGAATTCACTCGATTTTGATCGATCTAATCTGTTCAAATCGACTTTTGCTTACCCCTAACTAAGGTTGCTCGAATTTCCACGAGTTTGAGTGGATACCGTAAGCCTAGCCTAAAGGGCCAATGAGCTGTGCCTTTGCCTACATCATAACAGCAACTTGCCATGTTGATTTTTTATTAAATATTTCAAAACTTTATACCAGCTTTTTTTTTTCTTGTTTATTTAATTTTGTACTATGCATTAAAACGGTGGTTAATTGATTTTAACTTAATATTTAATATATATTAGAATTAAAAAAAAATGTTGTTATTTTTTTTAAATTTATCACATAAAAGTTTTTTTAAAATTTTTATCTACACATAATTAGCATCTATTAAAATGATGATTAATTGACTTTAAATTAAATATTTAATACAATATTATAGTCAAAAAAAATTTATTATCTTTTTAAATTTGTCACATGTATGTGAAAATAAAAAAATATAATACATGATAAATTTAAAAATAATAATAATAAATTTTTAATTTTAATATTATATTAAACATCAAACTTAAAATCAATTGATCATTTCTTTAAGACTATGTTTTGTCTTTGCTAGAATCCCTATTTTTCACTAGATTCATTGTATTTTATTTGATATAAATAAAAATTAAATGTTATCGATTTATAACAATATAAAATTTTTTTAAACAAAATTTGGATGAAATATACAAGTGATTATATAATTTTAAGGGCTCAATGAAATTGAAAATTTGAAAATCTTCATTAACGGGGTTTTGTCAAAATTTCATGGGTTTCCTTAATACAATAGTGGTAAACGAAGCCAAATTTGAAAATCTTCATTAACTGATAAATAAAAAAAGAGAAAATTTAAATTTGAAATAATTAAAATAATTACTTTTTATAAAAATCTAAAAATAAAGTCTACTTTTGATTTAAATCCAAAAACTTCAAATCATAATAATTCAAATTTAAATTCATCTTATCCAATATGATTTGAATTCAATATATCTATTCATTTTTCATTGAAATCTTTATTAAGGCAAATAAAATTATCAATTGAGTTAACTTTGCGTTGATGTACTTCTAAATTTTTATGTTAAGTATTTTCATAAATCGTGATTAAATTATTGTTAACAAGAATAATAATTTAATTAAACATTATATTGTTTTTCAGTTCCATTACAATTATGGTTTTCATTGACCATCATGTCCACCGCATGCTCTTCTTGCCCCAATGGATATGATTTCGATTGTCGTCAAAAAGATCACTCAGAATCTTGGGTAGTGTCTTGTCGATGGCCTCCATCTTGATGCCCCATAAAAGTTGCTTTTTATTTTTTAAAAGCAATTTTCATTGTGATTTATGTCTAAGAATCTTAAAATTTTTATATCAAAACATTTAATTTTTTTTAAATTATAAATGTGTGTATCTCTTACATAAAAAAATATATATTTTTTATGAAATTTATTTAACTTATAATTCATGATTTTATGATATGTTATATGTGAATTTTCTTGATCATACCATTGAATAATCGTGAGCATAAAATGAGACATAACGTAGCTTTGATTATAAATTATTTATAGCCTTGTTATATTTTAGTAAGATCTTGGTTATCAAATCAAAATGATAAAATTTTTTAAAATTATTAAGACATAAAAGAAATTATGAATTTATAAATCTTAAAAAAAAACCAATTATATATATTCTTATCAAGAAATCATATTTTAAGGTCTATATTTCATGGTTGCATTTTATTTACAAGAGAATAATATATAATTCATATTATTTGAATTATATAATATTATTTCAACAAGAAATAAACATATTATCTAAGATAACTTCAATTCAATTAGAGAAGTTATATAATTCTTTGTAACTTGTTAAAATGCTTTGTATTTGTAGGGTAAAAAAATTTCATGTATTTTATAATTTGGACACCAAAATTTATAATATTGAGTGGTTATACATGAAATTTTGACTATTTTTAATGACACGAACTATGGTGGATATGGTTTTAGTATCCATGATCAAATAAATTTTAAGTATCCAAGAGTTGAAATGAAAATCTCAAAATGAGACTATAGAGAGCATGAGTTTACTAGTTTTGAAGGTGATTATATTTGCTATCAT